AACAAAAAATTCGGAGTCAAACGGGCGTGGTTTGCATTCCGCACAGCCAATCAGACGTAGGAACTACTTTCTCCCACAACAGACCCTGCTCTGTAGCAGGGACTGAAAAGCGAGTCTCGCGAACGAAGTTGAGCTACTTTAGTTCCTGGGGCTTTTTGGTGTGAACGCAAATATATCGTAGTTCTGATGAACTATTGTGGGAAAAGTACACCAAAGTACTCCGGTGTGAACGCACCTAATGTGGCCTTTTCTGATACTATATAGTATATCCCATTGAATCCTGTGCTGTTAGACAGGATACTTTAAATACAACTTTAAAATCAGTCTAAATGATCAGATACATTAACCATAACCTTTTTCCATTCTCAACTGCAACACAAAATATAATCACAACACAAAGTTTATTATTCATAAATTCTCCCCATAAAACAAAAACAAATAAACAAAAAAAAAAGCTTCTATATATTGAGCCTTGAAAGTGCTCTCTGAAACTATACGCCTGGGGATGGCTTGTGACCATGAAATGAGAAAATGAAAACTTTGCCGTAGAGGTACACCAAATACATTGTTGGAAAGGTCTTGTCTTGGAGAGTAACATATGTCAGTATGAAGATTCCACATGGCTCCTGCTTTGAAATACTGACCTTTGAACCTTGACCTCGGTGCATGTTTGAAGGCTTATAATTAAGCAACAAAAGGGACTACAGACATGGGACATACTGTTAAGGCCCGGACACACCAGTCCGAATTTGGGAGTCAGAGGCCGTCAGAGGCAGTCGGGCATTCGCGGCGCCCTAATCAGGTTTGTCTGTCCCGCACCGTCGTCTCTTTACGGCACCTTTTCACACCTTCACACTTTCCCGACGCCTCCGCCGCGGGAGGCGTCGGGAAAGTCGGGACAAGCAATCACTCTGATTGAGGTACGCTCCTGGAAGAATTAACTGGCAAGGGTCAACTTAATGACGAAATCGCGGTCCATTCAAAAGTCTACGAAAACAGACTGCGGCGGTTGACATGTGATATGCTGCCAATCTTCCTGCATGAGGTGGAAAAGAGCTATTTTAAGTGTTTAATGGAACAGACCCATGGAGATATGTGGCTAATTATTTGTACAGACAGTTCACTGATTTGTAATGTACATTTGTTTTTACAGACAGTTGTGGCAAAACATTTTTTTATTGTATTGCACACTAATGACTATTTTTATCGTTTTGTATTGGCTGTACACTGTTAGAAGTATTCGTTGTTCTCGCGCCCAGGAGAGAAGCTTAGAATGAAGAGACTAATGGAGTCTCCGGAAAGGTTCAAATTGGTTGAGTTTAATTAAATGGCACGATGATACAACAAGCAGAGGGTAAGAGGAGAGACAGAGCAGCTGTTGCCTCGCCGGGGTGAAGGGGTGAAGTCTCGTGGTGAAGAAGAAGAAGTGCTGTCCAGAGCTCCCTCACCTCTCTCTATATCTCAGTGGTGACCCCTCCTCATCAATGGTGGGCGGTGACGTAGGGAGGGAACTTCCCTCCTCTTTCTCATTGTCTTAGTTTCTCTGATTAGGTCATCTCTCTGAGAGTGAATCTTAAATGTATGTGTGATCAACAGACGCTTTTTTAGGGGGTGAGGTTTTGCATACTGTGTCTGTGTATATCTCACTGTCTTGTAGGGTGAGATGGTTTTGCATACAGTGACAGAGGGGGTATCAGCTGCTACGACAAAGCTTACTGTGCGTTTAACCTAAATTACGTCATTGAATATTGATTTTAATTTCTAACAACACTGTGCATAATAAATAAACCACTTTTTACCGCTACTGCAAAATGCAAAACTTTATTTCGTACCTTCATACTACAGCCATTAGAGAATGAGGATACAATTAGCTATACTACAATAAAAGTCAGATACATCATGATATGTACATGATGATACATCATTTGCCTGTCAGTGTTATTTATATATATATCATTGATTATAATTACTGATGCATGATCATTGTTCATTTACCTATTGTGAGAATCACATGGAAATGTACATTTGCAAGACTGTTTCTGCCCCCTCTATTCACATGTAACCTTTCATACGTGATGGTTTCTTCATTCTCAAACTGTTGTGGAGCAGAAGTATACAGTTGCAGGATTAGTCTAAAATACCTCAAGATTGTCCTTAAGTACAGTGCCTAAGTAAATGAGCTACTGTCTACCACTGTTCATTGTTCATTTACCTATTGTGAGCATCACATGGAAATGTAAATTTTGCAAGAAGTGGCCATTATTCAGATAGTGTTTCTGTCTGCCCCTCTATTCTTTCTCCCATTATCCTCCACAATCTGCCTAGAAGTATTTCAACGTTGTAGCTGTTCAAGATGGTCATTTTAAAATGTGTTAAAAATATACTGTTAGTAGTTAAACCAATAATAATGTGCGGCTGCTACTGGCAGTATGTAGGCACATTTTTTATTTTTTATTAACGCTGTGTGATTAAAAGAATAAACACAAATAGCAGGATAGGCAATACAAAACTTTATTTCGTACCTTGATACTACTGCCATTGATAACACAGCATTAGACATATTTGGCAAACTCTTTTTTTTATTGTATTACACACTATTTTTATCGTATTGTAGTCGATTGTTGACATTGTACAGTTCTTTAGACATATTTGCTATATCGTTCCCCCACGGAGATACAATCCCGGTAATTTGTGTTTTGCCTCTGGATGAGTGGAGTGATGAGTTCCTTCAACATGTGAAACTGAACAGGAAAAAGCCGAGCAAAATTTGTGAAATCTGAGATTTCATTCAACTCCAGCTCTCGACACAGGTTCGGGAAAGCCCCCTGAGCTTCTCGCTGTAGTATCCATGTTTTCACCCATTTAGTGCGGTTTCTCCTGATTTTTCGCTTCCGCTTCTTAATCTCTGCAGCCGCAAGCAACACTCCAATTGCTGATAACGCCAGTACCGTACGATACATGTTTTTGATCGACGAGAGAGAGTGAAAATGGAACCCAGACGCTGTGTTTGTTTGTTTATATCACTCAGTCTGTTCTTCTTCTCTTGGTGTATAAAAGGCAGTCTGTCTTCCGGTTGTTGCCTCTTTTGAATGACGAATATACACTACCGCTGCCTGCTGGTAAGGACAGTTATTGTCACTCGTCGACTGAAGTATTTGCGGTGTGTTCGTAGGCGGGCGGCGTAGGCGGGCGGCGTAGCCGACGCAGCCGACGAAGCTGACGTAAAAGTCGGGACGCCTTCGGTACGCGTTCTTTGGTCTCAGGTGGGTGTGTAGCAGCCTAGAGAGCTCTTGACCTCAGCTATCATGTGAGTATAGTCAAAACTGGGGGCACTGTCAAATTTGGGTCAAATATGGTTAAAATGGATTTTCCCCCATTTCACAATTTGATATTTAAAATCTGATCACACACATGTGTTTACCATCCCCTTAAACCCCTCAGTGTATTCTTAACACTAATATATTTAAAAACTACAATTCCCTAGAGGCACGCTATGCAGCTTGGTACAAATCAGCACCACAGTTGTAGTTCTTCCGGTTTGCAAAGACATAGGGTCTTAAAAATATATATCTACTAAGTATATACAATATCTAGTATAGCCAAACTAGTAATTACACTGCATAAAGATTATTTATATTAAGAAAAAGATGTTGGTTTATTTAAGATATTTTAGCTATTCTAGAAATAGGGTTTTTCGGTTGGTTCTTTCTTTTTTGGTTACTGTGATCTTCTACAGTACATTGTTGGTTACTGTGATCTTCTACAGTACATTGTTGGTTACTGTGATCTTGTACAGTACATTGTTGGTTACTGTGATTATCTACAGTACATTGTTGGTTACTGTGATTATCTACAGTACATTGTTGGTTACTGAGATTTTATACAGTTGGGACGTTACTACTGATATTTTTAAAGTAACTCCAGAGGTACTGTAATCTTTGGTTAGAAACACAGTATTATACTCTAAAATAGTATACAGTAATTTACTGTGCACAAACACTGTAAATAACTGTGGATTTCACAGCCATTTTTTACAGTGTGCCTCTTCACCCACACCCACTACCGAGCCCACATCACCCCTGCCCTTCAAAACATGCAATGAATAGATTTCAAAATCTCCTCCTGACCCACAAAGCACTCAACAACCAGCCCCCTCCCCACCTCACTGACCTGCTCCACCACCACACCCCCCTCCCGCAGCCTTCGCTCATCAGAAGCCAACCTCCTTTCTATCCCCAGACCAAGCACCGGGCCTGGGGTGACAGAGCCTTCTCCATCTCTGCCCCCACCCTCTGGAACTCCCTCCCACAACAAATCAGAGACTGTACTGACCTCCCCACCTTCGAAACACTGACCAAAACTCACCTTTTTAGACTAGCTTTTAACTTGTGATTGATGACCTGTCCTTGTGACTAATGTGTTTTTTTTTACTTTATTTTCTTACATCTGTAAAGCGTCTTTGAGCACCTGATAAAGCGCTTAATAAATAAAATGTATTATCATTATTACATTAATTGAATAGCTAGAGTTTCTTGTTTCTCTTCAGACTCTGATTTCTTGAAAGTGAAAGAAAACACATGAATAGCTTACAATACAATAACCTGTTAAATACCAACCAATAGTATCTGACCTTTTTGTTTTGTGACAATGAATTGTAAGGAATTTTGCCAACTTAATTTAAGAGTTAGAGCCTACATTTCACAAAACTACGATTTTAGCAAAGTGTTAACGTAAAACACAAATTTGTTTAGTAGAATTTCATTTTTTCTTATTGTTTACCCTGTTCCCACCCTCTTCAGATGTTTTATGTTACATTGAAAGGATCTTTATATCCTGGTTGTGACATTGTACTGGTAGCCTTCACCAAAGCTCTACTGAGATATAGCTGGACATGCTTCAGTCAAATTCCAACTCTGTTATTTCTGAAGGTATTTCAAAGATAAATGAATTCATCAGCTGACCTGAAACATTTGACAATCTATTTCCACTCGTATCTGCAGAATCAAAGCCCTTGAAAGTCCAAGCAAAGAAGACGACACAAAATGGCTGACGTACTGGGTGGTGTATGGCGTCTTCAGCCTCGGAGAGTTCTTCTCCGATATCTTCCTCTATTGGTTCCCATTCTACTACGCTTTTAAGGTGAGAAAAGACTGAAGGACCAATGATTGTTTAAAATTATTCTAAGCTCACTTTGGTATAACTTAACAGAACTTAGTTTAGTGTGAATTCTGCCCATTTTAAGGGCAGTTAGAATCGCTAAATGGAATTACAGATGTGTTAAGAGGTCTGGAATCTAGGCTGACGAATCAGATTCAAGATGTACATGAATATCAAGGTTCAAGGCTTTTATTTGGCATACGTACATAGCTACAGTGTAGTTATGTAGATGACAATCTTAGGTCACAGGCTCCACCAGCAGTGCAAACACAATAAAACAGAAAAAATAAATACAAATAAAATAGTAAAATAGTGAATAGTGCAATAAGAGTCTATATACAAGTGATTGGAATATGATATATTAGATAAATAATTTGTAAGTTGCAGCCAGATGAATGTTATGGATGTTCTTTGAAAGTTCAGGTGTTTAACAGTCTTATGGCCTGTGGAATGAAACTGTCCCTGAGGCTGGTGGTTTTAGTCCTGATGCTGCGGTACCGCCTGCCAGACGGCAGCAGACAGAACAGTTTGTTGCTGGGGTGATGGGGGTCTTTGATAATCCTGAGGGCTTTCTTCCTGAGCCGCTGGGAGTAGAGGTCCTCCATGGATGGCAGCTCCGTCCTGGTGATGTGCTGTGCAGTTTTCACCACCCTCTGTAAAGTCTTACAGTTGAGGGTGTTGCAACTGCCAGTCAGGATACTCTATGGTGCAACTGTAGAAGTTGCAGAGTATCCTGGAGTCCATGTTGAACCTCCTCAGCCTGCGGAGGAAGAAGAGCTGCTGTCCAGCTGTTTTGGTGATGGTGTTTGTGTGATGAGTCCATGTCAGGTCCTCAGTGATGTGGACACAGAGGAACCTGAAGCTGCGGACTCTCTCCACCGTAGTTCCATTGATGGCGATGGGGGCGTGTCCCTCTCTCTGCAGCTTCCTGTAATCCACAATCAGCTCCTTGGTTTTGCTGACGTTGAGATGGAGGTTGTTATCCTGCACCAAGATGTCAGGGGTTTCGACTTCCTCTCTGTACGCTTTCTCATCGCCGTCGGTGATCAGGCCAATGACGGTCGTGTCGTCAGCAAACTTCACAATGGTGTTGGAGCTGTGTGAGCAGTATAGTAAACCAAGTCAATCCATTTCTGATCTTTGTGGTTCCAGTGTCTTTTCCTGTTGTGGTGCATGGCTCCTATCTCGTGGAATGGCTCCCAGGTAATCTACAACAAAGTGATTCGGCCCATCTTCCTCCGCTATGAGGCTGTGGTGGACGACATGGTGAATGACATCGGCGGGAGGGCGATGACTGCTGCTGAGGACATCACCAGAGAAGGTAAAGACCAGTTCAACACCAGTTAATTGTGTTTTTTTATTAAATATGTGAGTACTTTAATATTTCTGCTTTTCTTCAGTCCTGTGCACTCTGATGAAGAATAAAGCTGTGGTAGCGCTGTCACCCGCTCAGCCTGAAACCAAAAGTTTACCGAGTTCAACAACAGCTACAGTAGCTCCTTCAGATTCAAAGAAGAACAACCAGTACGTATACCCCAGCTGCATCACCACACCTTCTGAAAATAAGGTCCAACCTGAAGGCCTCTGTATGCTTCAAATGAACTGAACACTGGGACATAGCCAGGCTTTCTGTTACCCCTTTTTCTAGCGTTTATGCTAATCTAATCAGGTCTTGACTCAAGTCAGTTATCTTCAGTATAGCACTTCATCAGTACTAACCCACGACTGCTGACATTTCAATCCTTCTTTCTCTGAAAAAGTTAGAGCATTCAGATTTTCAGCACCTTCTTGTAAAAACGGCTGCTCCAAAGTTCCAGTTTCTGTATTTATTAATTAATTGGGTTGGTGTTTGGAGATCTAACCAGTTCAGACAGCCACTCAGACTCTAATTTTCATTACATAATTCAGTCATTTTCATGCTTTTTTAGCAAACATGGTGACTTGTTTGTCCATCCCACACAAGAACTGGAGAGACCAAATACTTTGCAAAACAAAGTTCTTCAAAAGTGTTTCTAGTCAGTCTCTGATAGTGTTACGTTATTATGAGAGTGCTCTCATACTTGTTTGATTCTGACATTGTATATATTTATATAAATATATGTGTATGTATATGTCCGCATCTGTAGCCTGTTATTGTCTCATTATACCGCACTGTGAATGAATTAAAAGTAAATATATAAGTCATCATGAACACATCTGGAAGCAGCAGGAGTTTAGAGAAATGAGAAATCCTCTCCTCTGACGTCCATTAATGATGACAGGAGGCACAGCAGCACTCTGTCTGATGGGCAGAACTGTGTTCATGACAACTTATATATTTACTTTAATTAATTCACAATGTGGTATAATGAGACAATAACATGCTACAGATGGGGACAAGGCGCTGGTCTGATTTGACGGAAAGATCTTTCATAACATGAAATGAACTGAGTTCATGAGCAGTTATTAAAATAAAAAAGGAGCCTAACATCCAGGGGAGATGTGATTAGTGAGTAAACAAACGGTAAAGGGCAGATAGTCTGACGCACATTTGATCATCTTAAATAACTTATAATCACAACGGAACAGTTTGCCCCGGAGGATACATCAGTGTACCCTCGGTTATAGCTCCTCCAGAGAGCCTCCTCGATCCTCGATTTTCGATGCGCATCTAGAGAAATAAGATGTCCTTCAAGATGGCTCGCTGACATTGATTATCGGGTCACTGTCGAGGAGTCGAGGATTAGAGGAATTGAAAATTCGATAAATGAGAGGTAAAGGTACAGCTTAAGAAGACAGACAGGAAGTAAACACTAACAGGAACAGTGACAGTATGGGCTCTGCAATGTTTAAGGACATGTTAGTGGAAAAGAAAACTCTGACAGTTGTTTTCTTAGTGGAAGCAATACAATCATTTTCATCATTTTCGGTATAATGTGCTGATCAAGCTCCATGTTCTTTTTCAATAATGACCGTCCGCCTCGACCCATCAGAATTGAGTATTCAACTAAGCTGTCTAATAACCAAAATTGTTTGTACATTCAGATTCGAGATGACTTAACATGCTTACCTATCCTGTTGTCTTGTTACCTATTTCAGCTCTTCCTTGGTTAACCAATATGGTAAGTCAACTGGTTGTGAATGTTGCGTGTTAGTGTAAGAAAATTAGCATGGAGCCTTAGCGACCCTCTCATGCCCCTTTTCCACCAAACCGGTTCCAGAGCCAGTTCCGGGCTAGAGCCAGATTAAGTCTGGTTCTTCCTGTTTCCACCGCAGCGGAGCCGGCTCTAAGCACCGAAAAACCGTTTTTTATCTGGCCCCCACTCGGCTGCCTGGCAAGAACCAAGAACCAATACGTCACGCTTACGTCGGAGGCGGGGGGCGGGATTAACCTGATCAACAATTCTGTACAGCAACACACACAACTACGAACCAGGATGGATGCCAGTAAATGTAAGCAGCATGGACCGCTGAAGAGACAAATGACCTCCTCGGGCTTTGGTCAAACGCAAGAGGTGCAGAGGAAGTTGGACGGCACAACGCGGTCTAAAGCTATTCTCCAGCAGCTGCAGCGGGAGTTGGCCCCGCTGGATACCACCGGACTCTGGAGCAAATAAGCAACAAGCTGGAAAAACTCAAGAAAGACTACCGGGATCATTGTTGTTGTTGTCGATAAGAGGGATTTTCGCGCCGTGTGGGTGTCATAAGAAGGCACGTAAACGTTTACGTGATGACGCAAACGACGACGCAATGACGCAGCTTCACTCAAGCTCTGCTCGGGCTCTGAGCGGTGGAAACACAAGTGGTGCTACAGACAGGGTTCTTACACCTTTTCCAAAGTCAAATTCAAGCACTTTTCAAGGTGAATTTTCAAGGTGCATTTTCAAGCTTTTCAAGCATCTTACAGCTGTTGTAAATTACATATTTATATACACATACTTATACTCAAATGATTATTTCCCTACCTCACATTAAATCAGATGTTCTTTATGCTATAAACAACCAAATGTGTGTTTCATAATAGCATTCTACATGAGGATGAAAAATTAAAAATGTTAGAAAAGAAAACTAAGTTTAATATTTCAAAATGAGTGACCCATCTGTACGTAGACTGGGCATCCCATATAACCTGGCTGAGCCAATATAAAACAATCAGCCAAATAACTTTTCAATACATTCTTTATTAACATGTTTGAGGTACTTTTAGGTTGGCAGTAAACACAAGTCAGGGGTAAATGGTGGACTTTAACTCCGCTACATGTACGTAATACCTTTAGTTACTTTACAGATGTGGATGAATGATGTGAATATAACCAAGTGTTAAATCAGACTTTAGTTCCACCTGGAGTAAATTCACAAGCTACTCTGTAGTAATACAAAGTCATTCAAACTAGCTGCAAACTTTACCAGCTTTGATAACACTTTCATGATCAATCATTATAAAACATATCATATACAATTATTAGGGATGCCCCGATCGCCAATTTGGAGCCGATCGCCGAATCAGTATCGGCCGATACCGATATCGCTCTCTTTTCCTCTCTCCCCCTCTCCCCCTCTCTCTCCTGACAGCCCGTCAGTATCCTCCTGCAGCTCACTGATCCAGTAATGAGCGACCCGACCGAGTGAGAATAAATATATGTATAACTCTAGTTTAGCTTGTTCCAGAGGTAGATAAAATAGCTAAGTGTGTAGGTCTAACTCTTAATGTGTGTTCTGCTCCGCTCACCGGTCCGTCACAAAGCGGGTGGAGCTGCAGGATTTCTGCTTCAAACCACCGTTGCCTACCGCTATTTTATTGTCATTTTTCAGACACTTAAAATACTGCCAGACTAGTGAAGCCATTTTGGCGAGCTTGTTTGCCGCGCACAGGAAAAGTGTCATGTATTTTACATGCAACGATAGCCTAATCTAAAATGCTCTACTATGGGCGTACCTTTCGTGTGGTGTGTGGCTCGTCAGCGCAGGACTCTCGCATCGTTATTGGTTGCAACACTTTGCAGGAGGCTACTCTTGAGCTTGACCCTCGTCTTAGCCATGCTTGTATTTGTCTTCTGCTAGCCAACGCTCATTGAAATGGCAACCTCCTGGCATACTGTCAATCTATCACTCTCATCAGAATGCCCAGGTCACTACACGTAACAAAACACTTGCCGGTCACGCGCAGCTAGCGCGGGAAGGCCGGAGCGGAGCTGTTTTATGTAAAAGCGAAGCAATTAAGCGCGCTCCGACTTCTTTATTTTCTTTTAATCTAAAAAGCGAAGTAAAGCATTTAACAATTTCAAGCACTTTATCCCAAATTCAAGCACCATTCCCAAAATTCAAGCACTTTTCAAACCTTGAAAACACCTCGTACAATTTCAAGCATTTCAAGGTCTTTCAGCACCCGTACGCACCCTGTACAGAGAAGAACCGGTTCAGCACCAGAAAAGCAAAGAACGGTTCTCGAACCGGATCCGGTTTTGGTGGAAAAGGGGCATTAGGAAACCCTCAATGCTAGCTGCAGTTCTGGGGCTGCAGATTAGAATGTAGCAGCAGATGAGTCGAGCTGACAAGATCCCCCATTAAGACCTAAAACAGTCCTGAAGGGTCCCTAACAAATCAGGTATATAATAATGCATTATTCTGTGTTTCCTGACTTTCTTCGTTCTTTTAGTCCTTCAGATAGCAGCAGAGGAAGAGGAGCAGAGGGCCAAGACTGGGTCTGTTCAGCCTGACATATCCCAACAAGAGGAATATTTCCCTGTCAAGGAGACTGATTTCCTTTTTATATGAGATATGCTATATTTATATACAATTCTTTACTGCAAAAACTCTGCAATCAGACTCTGACTTTACAACAATGTTGTGATTTTTTTTAATTGTATTTATATATTAACGTTTTTTGGGGGTCAGTTGAATGATTTTTATAGATACAAAGCACCTGAATGCAACAAAGTAACAATTACAGCAGCTTAAGCAGCAGATGTAGAACAATTGTATACAGTGAATGGCGTAGACACGTCAGCATCGGCTCCTACAGGCAAAGACAGTAACAGCTACAAATATGTTAAAACCTGCCTCTTATTGTTACTGTTCTGCTGAACTGCAGCTGAAACACTTCTCTTCCATGTGGTGGAAGTAAGATTGCTTTTATGTATAGAGACGGTGCACTTTAACATCTGCAGGTGCTGCAGCCCTGCAGAAACATTTTCTTCTGATCCCGGCTTTGGGTGCTTTGCATCCGTGACACTGTGTGTCCTAATTAGGTTAATATTACACATATATTCATATATACATATTATTTATCTGGTTTGTGTTTTGTTCATAAATATAAACAAGTTTCTGACCATGATATGACAATTAATAAAAAAAAGGGCTTATGAAAGAAACTTAAGTAATGACTCTCTCTTTCACATTACATTTTATCCATACAGATGTAGCACTCCAGATAGGACTCCACTGGGCGGATTCCAACCAAAAACCCAGCGGATCCCAGTGGCTGGGGGCGCTGCCAAATTGCTAGAGGGCGTTGCCAAATTTCCCCATTTGTTCAATTACAGGATTTAACCATGAGATGGCGCTTCATTCACAAATACACAAAGACAACTTGGTGTTGTAGAACTTAGTCTGTTTGCAATGTTGCAGCTCTGCAGTTGTGTTTGCTGAATACTGTAGCATTTAATCACTTTATTTGTTATGGTTTTCACAGGCTACTATAACGAAAAAACATCAATATTTTAGATCAAATAAGTATATCTAATCTTATTATCTTAATTGTAATTCAATAATATATAGTCCTTTATATATTAAATAATCATAATAATGTAAAAGTTACACTTCTTTATTTTTTATGCTCATACTTTACCTTTACAATAGTTTGCTTTATGCAGTATATTTGTTTTAATATTGTTGGGGTGTTTTTACAAAGTACAGTACAGATGGAGCGTCTTATTAGGACAGTTTGAAACGCGAGGGTCTTGGTTGGCTCGTGCACGGTCCGTGATCGGCCCGTTGCAAGGTTCGTGATGAAGAGCCGGCCCCCCAGTCTGACTTGATACCACCGCCCCCCGTGATAAATAAATGTAATTATTGTGAAGCCAGCTGAATGGATCATTGATCCACCAGGGGGTGCGGGTGGGGTTCCACACTGGAGCTCATGGTGAAATCAACTTCGATACAGTAAACTGGGATGTACAGTATGTCTGGTACTACTGTATAGCGGATCTTTGTTAAGATCCATATGTCACGGATAGGATCATAGTCTGTGCTAAATAAGACATGTAATCATTTACAAAACATCACCATGTTTGTTATTTAACAAATAATTGTTGTTTAGTCGAAAAAAACGAACGAGAGGAATTGCAGCCGGCTCTCCCGATTTTTTAATCCTAATTTAATCATCTTCACCACGATCATTTATGTTTATGTTCGCCGAATTGACATGAAATCACTGACAAATATGAATATTCTGTATTCAACTTCATTGAAACGATCAGGATCCCTGGGTGTTATTTTTCCCCACAATGTCCAGTCGCTGCAAATTATCCCGCTTATTACATGGCCACATTCTCAACAAAGTAACGACATGACTCCCAATCTTAATTGAAATGCTTTTATGGATTTAGAAAATGTTTTATGATTTAAAAAATAGTTGTATGTATTGATTGAAATTGACATGCATCCGCTAAGAGAAATAGTCACTAGACACTTGACACAGTGGCTTTTTGGCAAAGCAGAAAAAAGAACACTCAAACCGAGAGATGAGTATTATTACAACGTGACTTCACTATTATTTAACAACTGTTTTTATTGGGTTCTTTTATTTGGGGTTTAAGTATAGGTGAATTGCACTAATGTGGGAAGATCGTGATGTCTCCTCCGATCTGCTTTATGATCTTATTTCTCCCGCTGTGTAAGATTGGGGGGACCGCCGTCCTCTGTCTTCAATGTTCGACATCGCGTGAAACAGAGGATTTTCGACATCTGTATTCATTGCTTACTTCCTTAAACCTTTTCTCCATCCTTATCTCTTTCATGACCTTTTTATTTAATGCTTTATAACAGCTGTAATAGTTTCGTTTAGAAATCCTAGAAACACTTTTACGGCAGCTCTCATTTACGGTAACTCCTTCTGACGTCATAGCTACCCACAGTATAATATATAAACAAGTCTTGGCTTTCAGAATATGAAACTTTTATTTCCAAAATCACACGATAAATACATTTGTGAAGCTTGTAAAGGGAAGATGACAGGCACCTCTCACTCGCAATCTGCTCCTCCGCAGCGCCGCCCCCCTCCCTCCAGCTGAAATTATGAATGTACAGTAAGGCCATATAGTAATCATAGATAACACGGCAGGGTCCGTTACAGTTTGTTTTCATCTGATTTCAAATAACAAAGTCTGGCTTTCAGAATATTAAACTTGTTTCGGCAAATTTAGATGATAAATACAACATGAAGCTTGTAACGGCATAATTACTTAAGCGGAGAACGGAGTAATTTAACGTTACAGCAGGCATAACAACAGCCGGTGTTTATTTTATTATTATATATAGTCGTTATTCATTTGTTTTAAAGCTCAATAAGGAAGATTTAAACGTTCACACACGTTGACCGGCGAAAAACTCTGCCCGG